GCTGTGGTCTCAGGCTGACACTGGAGGAGGTCTGATACCTGAGTGAAGACCTGCTGATGTAGTTTTCTTCACTGGAACCTGTAGATAATGGTATTTATTGCTGTTCCCTGCTGTCTCTAACGTCCTGTTCTTGTTTCCAGAACCACCACATGTTTCACTCTCGGAGGGGAAGAGAGTTTCTGGTTCTCCTCAGACGCTGAGCTGCCACTGCAGTAAATATTATCCTCTGGACGTTCAGGTCAGGAGCCCGTTCAGATCCTCTGCAGCTCTTTGGCTGCTCGCGTCTGTCCTCAGTGAATCCTCACTTTTAAACTCATTCATGTTGTGTTTAAAGCTGCTAAGATATGTGACAGAAATAGTAAAAATCTGCATTAGATTATTAAAGATTAAAAATAGCAAGTAATGTTTTACATGTTGTTTTACAGATTTAAGAATAAAACTGTAACTCATGTTCACCACAAAAATATGTAGTTTTACAAACAACAATTTGTTCTTTATTAAAATCAGCAGGAATGTTGTTGCTTTATTAGTATTTACTGATATTTGAAAGAAGAATTCTATTAAAGATTGACAAATTGTAAAACCATTTATTATTCTACAGGTTTTCCTGTTTTGTACAATTTAAATATAAAAAACTAACTAAATAAATAAAAGACACCAGAACTGTAAAAAAAAAAAAGTTCACATCAAAATGTGTTTCACAGGAAATCTCTGTGACTGTAAAGATCCACAATCAGGTCATGTGTCACTGTTCACAGATATCTGCTGTTGTTTTATTTGAACGTTACAGCATTTCATTGTTTGTTTGTTTGTTTGTTTGTTTGTTTACAGAGGCTTTGATTTGATGGTTTGCTCATTTTCCTATAAATCATTTTTATATTTTTATTTTGACCTTTCTTTCTTTGGTTGGAGACGCACTGAGCTGGAGGAGCGTCTGTGAACCCCAGACTGATGGATGAGTTCATCTCTGCTGTCTTTCAGATGGAGTGGTTCTCACAGGCTCCCACAGCCTCAGAACCAGAACCCTTTCCAAACCAGGGTTCTCTGTCCAGCCATCGACAGCACGGCGATGGAACGTTCTCCCTGTCGTCCCACCTGTCCGTCCCCTCGTCCGTCCCCCCCGGAACCAGGATCACCTGCAGAGTGTCGCACTCGGCTCTGGACGCTCCGCTGCAGGTGGCTGTGGAGCTGCAGAGTCCTGAGATAGGTATTCATGTGGACCTGTCATCAACATATTCATTCATTTACTGTAAAGTTCTCTGGTGAGGGATCAGTAAAGTGCTGCAGGAGGCTCGGTGGTTAGCACCGTGGCCT